GGGAGGGTGGTTTTGCTGATTCTCCTGGCGTAACGGAGGAGCTCTTCGTATGCGATGGGGTAGTTGGGCTCGGATGGGTATGTCGTCGTGTGCGTGCTGACAATGTCTTTGTGCGTGTTGGCGAGGCTGGTCAGCGTGTCGCGAATCTGGGTGTCTAGGGCTGCCGAGGACTGGCGAAGCTTTTGAATGCGGAGATGATTATTTTGATGGATTTGAACTAGAATTCAGTCAGAGGATGTGGCCTGTAGGCGAAGGAGGAAGGAGCAGTCCGCGATTTTTTTAAAATTTGTTTTGTACCTTCTTCAAGACCTTTGCTGAGTTCGTTGTCGGCGGCTTTGAGCTCTTCGGCTTGAATAGTGGACGGGTGATATTTTGTGACGGAGTCAATTAGATTTGACAATGCCTTTTCTAGTCGCTCAAAGCGACTGTCGATGTATTTGTCCATATTTGCGGGTGCTTTCTCGGCGAGCTACCAGCATCACATGGTAACTACTATTCAATAGAATTGGCCTAGGTTCTGAACGATGAACTTGGTTGCCGTTGGTATTACCTGCAGTGGGTCAATTAAAGCGCATTTCATTGGCCGCTGATATCCAGAAGCTGTTGTGTGGGCCTCAGGCCACCATCCGGCCTTTCCCGTGGGCAAACTCGCGCATCGTTCCGGCATCAATTTTGAAGACGATACCCCGTCAAGCAATTGAATCATATTGAAAGGCTTCGACTGCCAATCCCCCAGTCAAGATGGTCTACACTGTAAGTACTCTCATGACTAATGACTTTTAGGGTGACTCAATGCCGCACTACGTGAATAATACGGCGCCGCGGTGGAGTGTTGACTGACGGAATCTTGCAGACTCCTGTCCGCGCTGCGGAATTCAAGAGCGCCTACGGCCCCAAGTACGTACCGGATGTATCCAACGACGCCGATCTCGACGAAGGAACCGAGTTGCGTGCGGAAATGGCCTGCCGAGTTGCCTAGCCTTGGGCACCGTTGGCTCGAATGATGGAAGGAGGAGGCTAACATTGAGCAATAGATACAAGTTCCAGCCCAACATCAATGGATGGAACCAGACTTCTCTCCTCCGAACGTAAGTTGGATCTTGTTCCGCCGCATGGGTGAAGCATTTGGTCGAACGAGGGTTAATGGCACTTGGGGCGACCCTGGGTCTGGAAAGGAACAGTACGCTTGGAAAAGGACAATTCCTTTTTGCATGGGGGACTGCTTCTTGGCCTAGACGCACAAATCCGCCTGCTGGGTCAATTTTGAGTGGAACGTGGGAGCGTTTTCAACACCCGCGCAGTCAACGGAAGCGTTGGGCAAACACGAAACTAACAATTGGGATAGTGGTGTGAGATCTGCCTCTTTTGGTGGTGCTGCCGTTGTCGGTCTCCTTCTCTACGTCTCCGGCATTCCTCGTGTCCAGAGGGACGTTCTCCAGGTATGTTTGCTAAATAGGCCGATTATAGTGTTTTGACTGCTAATGCTGGTCCATAGAAAATCCCCTTCGTCGGCCGCTACTTCATTCAGCCTGAGGTCCATCCCCAGGATAACGTGAGTCTCAAATATTCTAATTGGAGTCACAATGTCATGGTTAACGAATTTGCAGCCCTTTTAAAATGCATTGGTGGAACATGGATTGTAGATTATCAAAGCCCTGTGGACGACAAGGGTTCTTCTCTTTGTATAAGATACTCAAAATAGAACTTTTCTGAGCCACTTTCCCTGTTTCAAATAGCCTGTAACCTTTGCTTCTTCAATTTGTGCTGCGAATATCGTTAACGAGATGTCTGATATCGGAGGATGTTAAATCGCCAGTATGCGTAAACTATGCGTGTAGTGGTGCAAACGCATCTTGGAGAGACATTGGGCTCACTCACTATTACTGAATTGTCTCCAATTAATCAACTATTTTATGTGAATATCGAGTCGATGAGTACTGCTTGGGGATCCAAGGGATGTGGTGACTGTACAGTATGAGACAGTGCGACTCGCACAGACAAAACCCCCATAGAAATGGAAGTCATCTTGCCAGGTAATCAATCTCCTTGCAACCAAGCTCGCGCCGCTTATAGAGCACAAGGCGCCGACGAAAGATCCTTCAAAATGGAATAGAATGGAATTCGGATTTTTTTTTCGTCAAGAACTTTCGTTATTTGCAAGCCCTGTACGCTTGTTAATACCCCCCCTTCACCCTTTCCGCGTTGCCTATTTCCAGCCATTCTCAGTCCATGTCGCCCACCACCAACATGGCAGACAGCATAGAAGTCACCAGACGCTGGGCGTCGCCCCTGGCCACATTGGCACTTTCTATACCAATATTGATTTTGGTCTCTCGCAGAACCGGAAAAAAGTGGCAGAATTTCCCCCCGTTTTCCCTGCTGACTCTGCTAAGCGGAGCGTGGTTCATGATAGTTTCTGAGACAGTATCAGAGCCATACTTGGTATGGCAGAAATTCTCTCATGTTTACAACTAGTTTCCCGACTAACAACCTTCTAGGATGAAATATTCCACATACCACAAGCTCAAAGGTACTGTGAGGGCAAGTTTCTCGAGTGGGATGACAAAATCACAACTCCACCAGGGCTGTTCGTATAGCAATTCCCCCCATGGGCTACGGCGATAGACTAATACTCGTATCAGGTACCTATTTTCAATTCTTCTCCAAAAGACAGCCGCGGCTGTGAAGCTTCCATGGGTGTTTAGCTGTGATACTAGTAGTTTACGCATCACGAACGTTCTTGGCTTGATCGTTCTCGCCTCCTTGACCCTGTTGTGCCGACATGAAATTGAATCGCGACTATACGAGGCACATTCGTCGGCGCGCCTCAAAGCCATCTCCAAATACGCCGTGCACACGGCTTTCAACATTGCGCTATTTCCACTGCTGTTTTTCTTTTCAGGACTGTACTATACCGACGTTATTTCGACGGCTGTGGTGGTTGGTGGCTATTTGAACCACCTCAAGCGCGTTGGGCGAGATCGAAGCTCCTTTGTGAGTGACTTGATTACTGTCTTGTTGGGTACTTTGGCTCTGTTAATGAGGCAGACAAATGTCTTCTGGATAGTGGTGTGGATGGGGGGTCTGGAGGCTGTTCACGCGCTCAAGACAATGCGGCCGCAACACGCAGAGCAGCCTTTCATGACGACATTGACAGACCAGGTCAAGTTTTATGCTTGGAGATACTCTGTGGGCGATATTCATGATCCGCCATTGAATCTGGCTTGGCCAGATGGTAAGTACCTTTTTGTCTTCGGCTTGTCAAAGCGGGGTGCTGATATTCTTCGTTAGATATGCTTTTCACAGCGATTAGTCTTGCAATCGCAGCTCTCTGCAATCCCATTCGAGTCATTCGCCAAATATGGCCATATATATCCGTCCTCGCCGCTTTTGCTAGCTTTGTGGCATGGAATGGCGGCGTTGTCCTGGGTAAGTTGTTTCATAGAAGCGGACTGGCATCGTGTCACTGACCTTGGTTGGGTAGGTGATAAGTCGAATCATGTTGCCACCATTCACCTGGCCCAGCTACTTTATATCTGGCCCTTTTTTGCCTTCTTTTCCCTCCCCCTTCTCTTACCGCATGTAATTCCTATTCTTGACATTGCACGAAATGTGCTTCGTTCACTTTCACAAAGTGGCCAAAGGGCGGGGTCGTCACAGCCCTCAAAGACATCTAGGTCCTTTGAATTTTCGCGTTTTGTCAAATCGAAGCGACCAGAGGGTTCCAAGGCGAGGGACACTCGAAGCACTGCCTCTCAAGTCGCTCTCGAAACGCCAAGCCATGGCTCGCCATCTCCTGCCTTAAGGACCGCGGATTTCATTTTCAACTCCAAATTTATTCCTTGGATAATTTATACTCTACTTACCTTTGTAGTATCCACAGCAATTGTTAAATTCAACACCATTATTCATCCATTCACACTCGCCGACAACCGACACTACATGTTCTACATTTTTCGATACACTATCCGCCGGGGCAGCCTCATCAGATTCATGCTTATTATTCCATATACCATCAGCAGATGGATGGTATGGGGCACATTGGCAGGTTGTGCGGACTGGATCTTATCGAGCAACCGTGAGCTGTGCTCTGCCCGGTACAATGTCAACGAGCCTGCTCCCTACACAAGCTATCCTCTCTGGATCGCATGGGGAACCAAGAAGACACAAACAAACGTAGAATATCCCCAGGATGTGAGCCAGATGCCGAGGAACTCGGCATCAACGGACGGTGAACTTCGAGGTACCGTGGAGGATGACCCGCTCCTGGTCTCGGCTGAGCCAACTTCAACTTCTACAGGCCTCATATTCCTGTTGGCAACCACACTCTCCCTAATGACAGCACCGCTTGTTGAGCCTCGCTACTTCATTCTCCCTTGGGTGATGTGGCGCCTGTTAGTACCGGCTTGGAGAGTCCATGATCACGCACATATAAACTCCCTATTTGAGGGAGTAGCACCACGGTCAATTGTTGGCAAAACCAGGGAGGTCTTTAAACGGTATGACGTGCGACTTGTCCTCGAGACACTGTGGTTTGTGGCGATAAACGTGGCTACAGGGTATATATTCCTCATGAAGCCGTATGTATGGAAAGATGAACAAGGGCGGAATCTCGAAGATGGCCGACTACAGCGGTTCATGTGGTAGCAAAACAAAAGCATACACTACGTGACAAAAAGAATAGGCCCATGAAATGCGAAGCAATCATGTATATTTCATACACTGCATTCGATGCTTTAAGATGAAAAAGCAAGATGCAGAGACACCAACCATATGGTGCAATGAAGTGTTTTCCCGCCACGTCATTTTTTTAATAGCAAAGCAGCCCTGTAAACGCCACCAATGATTCCAGTTCCAGCATCCCATCCAGACTCATTCATATTCACATTTCAAGCCATTGGTAAACATTTCCATCTCATGAAGTGGCATCCGTCTTGCATAACCGGAGCCAGGAAGCATTTTTTTTTCTTTTTGGGCCTAGTCTTCTTCAGTCCCGGGTCTTATAAACTCAGTCGATCCAGACTCAAACCATCATTACTTCTCACCCTCCTCACTACGCCCAGCTTGAAGAATTTCTCTTCGCCGCCTGCCGTCCTACCGCCAATATACCACTTGTCTGCGCCTATTGCATCTCTGAAGCCCTCGCTGCTGCTATCGCTGCCACGTCGCCGCCCGGACGCAGAAGGATTTGGAATAGGGATAGAAGCAGCGCTGTTGCCGCGTGGAGAGTGGATAGATACGCTAGGGGGTGGGGAGCGACTGTTTGCTTGGGCGGACGATGCTGCTGCTGCGGCGGCGGCGGCGCTGGTCGCGATGGTCCGCGGTGCGGTGCTTGTTTGGGGATATGATGATGACGAGGTGGAGGAACCGACGGCGGCGGATTGATTGTTGTGTTTGTTGGGCTGTTGATTGGCCTGGAGGGTCGGGCCTTGTTGGCGGAAGGCGGCGATGAAGGAGGACAGGAAGTAGGGGCGTTGAGAAGGCATGGTTCGGACGGAAGCGATGTTTGCTTAGTGTGTTTTGGTCGATGTAGGATTGAGGAGAGGCTCGGCTGTCAATTTCCCACGTTGACAGGAGTGAGTAGTCGGTTGGTCCGGCGTCGATGGATAATGTCGCACACGACTTTGACCGGTCGATCCGAGGAGTGATGTTCCTGGGTGGAGGTCGTCTTCCCACAGTGTTATCAACCGAGTCCCTCAAGGTAGGTCGATCGGCTGCGCAGTTGAGGAAGACGTCACACGGCGAGTCGGCTATATCGCACTGCGTATGGGGCGCTGAGCAAAGACGGTCGCACGCAAGGACTTGATATCGAGCACTGCGCTGGATAGCAAGAAGATGCAATCGGTCGGCGTTGTTGAGAGGAAAAGATGGACGAGGGAGGCACGGAGCTAGGGCATCCAGGGATTGACATCGAGGAGGTGGAAGCGTTGGTCAGCGGCTTAACCGGGCAACCGGGGTGGTGGATGATTGCAGTCGCAGAGACTCGAGATTTGTGGCCCTCGGCAAAAGCCGGGGTGGATTCTGGCGGCGGCCTGGACAAAAGGAAATGCAGGCACCGTGAGTGGCTGCGACTGGCTGCGACCGGCCGGTGCAGGTGACTAATGGCGGGGTTGCCATAGGCTAGGGAAGGCGCTGCCCAGGATCTGGTGCGGGCTTCTGGAGGCAGCGACAGTCGGGTTTGCAGCAAATCTGGAAAACTTGCGGGGTGGCTGACAACCAAGAGCCCATTCCAACACAAAACACAGCGACATGCCTTGTTATCATGACATCGATCGATAATGCGGTGGTTGCAGGGTCCACAAAACGGCGCTGTCAAGAGCGCTTGATGGAGCCACCAGAGATGATCAAGTGCTGCCTCGTGCATGATCTCGAGCCTCTCTTGTCGCCTGCAACGAAGCGAAGCGGGTCAACTCACGCCAGCATTCACTCTCACTCGTCCTGGTGCCAAGAATCAAATTTTTTTTACGTATACGGAGTACTGTCGCCGAATGAAGCTCATCGCTCATCTACCGAATAGGTGGTTTTGAGAAGAGAAGAAAGGCCATGTGCCAGAGTCAAACAGCGTAGGATATGTATGTACTGGGAATATCTCCATTCCTCCGACAACTGTTGCTGGTCGAATCTTGAGTCTTTCATCCATCGTGACTCGAAGCACGCGTGAAGTTGCTTGCTCGTTTGGGCAGGTTGTGACAATTCAATTTCACCAACTAGAGTCTGGGAGTCAAGGTGTGGATACACCAACAACAGACGAGAGACATGGACAAACCATCGACGGGTATGCTACCCGCAACATAGCTGTAACCTCTACGGAGTATCCCAAGATCTTACTCCATACATCCATGGTGGCAGGATTCATAGACAACATTAAGCATCATGGCCGGCGCGCAGGCCTCGGAAACCAGTCCCCTCCTCAACCCGGAAGCCACATCTACACCGCATGTCGACCGGCCACCATCAATCTCATCGGCCTCGTCAACATGTCCAACTTTGCTTCCCTCAGAACCCGACGCTCTACGGTCCATAGTAGCCGCCTTTACGATACATCTTCTTCTGAACATTGCCACAAACATCGCGCTGACGCCCCAAACCGCCATTCTCCAAGATATTGTATGCAAACAGTACTACGACGGGGTGGATTCTCTCGCTGGCACCACGCACGTCCAGGACAAAGACAGATGTGGCGTTGTTCCTGTGCAGAGTGAAGTCGCCTACGTGATAGGATGGGAGGCGGCAATAGAGAATATCCCAAATATGCTGCTGGCAGTTCCGTTTGGAGCGCTAGCAGACAAGGTGGGCAGGAAAAGGATTCTGTTGGTGGCTCTATTTGGAATGTTTATGAACGACGCCTGGATAAGACTTGTTTGTGAGTCATGGCTCTGTGATATTGGCAACGGCACACTTACCCATGCGTTTTAGACTGGTTCCCAGACGTTTTCCCCGTGAGAGCCGTGTGGATTGCCGGGTTGTGGCAAGCAATTGGTTCCGGAGCCGCGACACTATCATCCATCACACATGCTTTGGTGGCAGATGCGTGTCCAGAAGAACAGAGGCAAGTTTACGAAACCATGTGACCCTCCTTCTTTGCGAATTCACCTCTGACTATAGATTATAGAACATCCGCCTTTTCTCAAATCAGATCGGCCAAACTTCTCTCCCAGCTCATTTTCGTCCCCATTGGTGGTGCCTTGATATCCACGAACCCTTGGGTTCCCATGTTTGTTTCCACTGGTTTCATGATTTCTGGCTTCATTGCGGCTGTGATTCTCGTGCCTGGAGACTGGCCGTCCGAACCGGCTCACAGTATTGAAAGGCAGGGTCTGCTCCAGGATGAAAGCGCTGGCGTCCATTCCAAAGCGCAGTGGTTCAGCTGGACGGGCATAGGATCAAGCACATCACAAATAACAGGCTGGACTGCTTCAAACTCGCGACTTGTACCACTCGTCCTGTCGTTTTTTGTGTTCCAGCTAGGCGAGCAGGCTGGGCTTACATTGCTGCTTCAGTACGCCGCGAAACGCCTTGACTGGACATTGAGCAAGGTAAAACCCACCCATACGGCCCTCACTCCATCGTATTGCGATGTAGAATTTCGCTAATGTGTTAGGCGTCATTCCTCATATCGGTCCGCGCGGGCGTCAATATGTCCGCCCTCGTCGTTCTGGTTCCGGCAGTGTCCGCCATTCTCCTTACCACCTATCACCTCTCCGTGATGCAGAAAGACAAGTGCATTGCCCAAGCTAGCGGATTATTGCTCGTGCTCGGCTGCCTCGTTGTGTTTCAAGCCACGTCCGCCATATCAATGGTGGGAGGTTTGGTGCTAATTTCCGTTGGAGACGTCTTCGCCATTCCCGTAAGGAGTTTGGCAACGGGCCTTATGGATTCGACTCATCTTGGTGTCCTGTACACTGTCATTGAAGTCATGACACAGAGTGGTCTGTTTATCGGCCAACCTATGCTAGCAGAGACCTTCCGATGGGGATTGAAGCTGGGCGGGTTTTGGATAGGGATGCCGTTTTTGTTTGCAGCAGCCTTTTTCATCCTGGCCCTCATAGCCGTGTCGACGGTGCCGAGTAGACGACGGATATTGGTTCCACAGGAAGATCTAGCCGAAGGCTAGGATAGGTGTGGTATCAAATTCATCGGATGCGTAGACAACTTTTTGAATACCCATGCCAACCTATCATGAAACATGACGACTATACAATCACAACATCTACCGTTCCCGTAATGCCATCAAACACGCACCACTCTTTGCCATATGTAAATGTCTCCTGAAACATGCCCACTCTCTGGAATAACTTACCTCCCAATCCATCACCGGCTTCGGCCAAAACGAGTCCGTATATTCGTCCCATTGCCAGCCTTGTCTTGACACGCCCCGCCGCTATTAACAAACAGTACAGCCTGCCTCCCAGACCGACTTCTGCAGGATTATCTGCTGCGGAGAAAGCCATCGCGTGGTCATCCCTGTAGAGCATAATCTCACCGGGCAGAGCCTTGACCGATTTTGCTTCAACCGTTGCGAGCTTACCCCTGATGGTGACAGAGGCCGTCGTGGGATGTAGCAACATGCCCATCCCATACCTGTGGGCGCAATTCGCGTCGAGAAGCTCTGCGCCCTCGGCGTCAACCAGACCCATGTTGGCGGAATTAAGCTCCTTTTCATACTCGACCTGCGTGTTAATGGACGCCCACGACCACGAGGGCGCCAACTTTTCCGCGTCCTGTTGCCGAATCTCTCGATTCTTCATCTCTTGTCGAGCAATGTTGTTGTTGAAAGCCGCCTGTCCCACGTCGGAGCCCCCAAAGACATTATTCAAATCGTAGTGCTTCCCAAACGCCGTAGCCTGCCAATCGCTCCCTTTTCGCTTCCGCCATAGCAGGTCCATCATCAAGGTTGAGCGCCACAGACCAGCCAGGTACTCGTCGCCAGGGCGCATCCTGGCAATCTCCGACGCCAGCCCCGACAGCGCGGGGAACTTGTCCCTGCGGGCCGTGAAGTCGAGGCCCGTGTAGGCATTCACAATGTGGTGCCACAGCTCGGGGGACTGGCCGACGATGGAGGCGCTGTGCTCGGCCGACGTGGACAGGCTGTACGCGGCCTTGGGGTTGAAGGGCTCACGGGGGGAGTACTCGGCGACGGCGTAGCTGGCCAGCATGGGCTCGCACTCGCACGCCGACCCGGCCATGCACTCCCACGCCACCTCGTTGAAGCCAAAGTACACGACGCGCGGCGACAGGAGGCGCTCCTGGAGAACCCACAGGCGGTCGAGGATGCCGTGCTCCTCGTCCCGGCGCAAGTGGCCGACGCTGTAGCGCAGCCGCCGGCGGACCATGACGGGGAACGGGAGATTGTACCTCGCCAGCTCGAGGTTGCGGGTGTCCACCACCACCGACGGGACGGTTTGGAAGAGGCCGTCCCGCGGGCCCGACGCCGACGCCGCCGCTATCGTCAGCAGCCCGTTCTTGTAGATGGGCGCCATCAGCGCCGACTCGCGCTCCCAGTCGTCGTTGTCGTCCTGGATGATGCACAGCGAGTCTATCCACAGGTATTTGCTGCCCATGCGCCGGGTGACGAGGGCCGCGTCCCGAAACGTCGGCGGCAACGACTCCAGCGGGATGCCCTGCCGCAGCTGGTCCAGGGAGCTGGTCGTCGTCCTTATGGGCATTCCTTGGTCCCCCCACCGGTGGGTGAGGCACACGTACTGCCCTTGCCGGCCGCTCGTCTCGACCAGTTTGATGTCGGCGAGGCTGCTTACGTCGATGAGGCGGGTGGGGAGGTTCACCCACGATGCCACCGGCGAGCACTGCGCGTGGTTTGCAGAGCACTGCTGTCGCCAGTAGTCTATTTGCGACATTGTCTGCTCCGTGTCTGTCTGGCCGTTGAGGTAGTTTTTGAATGGGAAATGGCTGTGGACACTGGTCGCTCCGGCAAGATCTAGATGGACTCATTAGCAAAAATGCCCTTCTGCCTGCCTCACAGTGGGCA